TCAGTGGTAGTTCAAGAAGACTTAACGGCTGAAGAAATAAAGAAAAAAGTTGGTGGAATTGCTGCTGGGTCAGTAACCAAGAAACATGATAGTTTCATATGTTGCATTCTTTCTCATGGTAATCCAAAGGGGATTGAAGGAGTCGATGGTGAAACTGTTACTGTGCCTGAATTGGCTAAAAGTGTAATTTCTAAGGAATGTTCAGCACTTCGTGGAAAGCCCAAAATATTTTTCTTTCAAGCTTGTCGAGGGACTAAAGTACCAGAGCCTATAGCTGCTGATTCGTCTGTGCCATTGCCTCCAAATAAAGAAGAAAAGATGGTTGCTGATGGTTTTCGAGCATTACCACCAGAGGCCGACTTCTTGATTGGTTTTAGCACTTCTGATGGTAACGTTGCTACAAGAGGTGTCGAAACTGGTTCACAATATATAAAAGCATTGTGTAAATTTCTTGATCCCAAATATTCTTCCAGGTTTAGTCTTGATGAACTCTTACTTCTCGTAAATTACGAAGTATCAGGGAATCCAATTGATTATGAAATGTCGTACAAGTATCATCAAATGCCCGAAATCAGAAGCACTTTGAGAGGAAAATTTTACTTTAAAAAGTAGCTTGAGTGTTTTATTTCTAAGTATTATTGCAACTGAATTAAGTGTGTATTTTTCATCATACTTTTGTAATGCTACTCTTAGATAGTTTTGATATTTTAATTTTATATTGCTGCAAAATGCATTCTTTTTTTTGTTTCTTCTTGCAAGCTTGTTTCATTTTTATGACAAAATAATTTACCAGATTGCATGCTGACAGCAAGTGACATAATTTCAAAATTCAATTTAAGTTAATGATTGATACACCACTAGAGCTGAAGTTATGAATATTATCAAGCCTGGAGTAACTGTGGGCACTGGGTAAAGCCTATATAGATTAGCTACATAAAATCATTGATTGGTCTCCCCTGAGCCTCACCAGTCACTACATTGAACAAGGGCTGTAGAGCATAATATAGTGAAGAGAATCAGGAGATGTCTTCAACTGAGTCTTCAGCACAATTATTATTATTATTATTAAAAAAGCTATTAAGGATAACCTAGGAATAAGTGGCAGGTGATCCCAAGTCAGTTCAAATGAAAAAGGATGGGAAAATGGAAACATGCATATAGCTAGCACCAGATGCCTGAAATAAGGAGTACTCTGTGAGGCTACTTCTACTTCTGAAACATAATTATTAATTTTTGCTGCAATGTTTTAAAAAACTTTTTTTGATAAAATAATATTAAGTGATGTATCTGCTAATGGGATATGCACCATTTACTATAGTAAACTTTTATGTCTTAGAACGTGTGAGCTGGATTAAGAGGTTGACCGCACCACTTGGTTATAAAATGAACAACATCCAAGCACTCTTCATTTTGAGATGCCTGTGGAGAGAAAGAGAGAAATTATTTTCAGTTTCCTGACTTTATAATTCTGACCTTTGTATTCATAACAAACTTGGTCCAGTCCCCTTTGTTAGCACACCTCCCACCTCGTTTAAACTCAACCTTTTGCTTCAATACTGGATAACCTACACACATACATAATTATTGCATCCCAGACAGTTTACATATAGATTAGATCAAATCCATCCCCTAGGCAACTTATAGATTAGATCAAATTCATCCCCTAGGCAAGTAAGTAAGGCAACTCTGTGGTTATACTTTGATCTCTACTGAGACACTTGGCTGCCAGAAAAAGGATTTTTTGCACATCAGAAAATAAAGTACGTGTACATATACCAAACAACAAAGTTGCCCAGAGGATATTTGGCTAAAGGTACACATGTAAATGTACATGTATCTTAGTACCGGACCTGTTACAATGCAAGGTAATGAAGTGACTCCAGTATGAGGTGATGTCAGTGATGCAACATAAGTCTGTCTCTCATCATCAAGTGGTAGTGTTTGCTCCACCTGCATGATTAAAGGAATAAGGTAATGGATTAATTCCTGTTATGAGTCACCTGTCTGTCCATGGAGAGGGCCAGTACCCATTCCTTAATCTCTTCTCGTTTATCCTCCTGTAACAAACAGAAGCACTTTATAATGTAATCCTATAGGTACATGTACATGTACATACATGCATGCTAAGTGTTTGTATAGTGTGAACATGAAGCAAAAATAATTGACATAAGGGGCATAAAAATTATCTATAATAGAGAGTGAGCTATAGTAGTTTGATAACAACTTCTTACAACAAGTTTCTGTAGTATAGGATATACATGTTAATGAGAGTGTAGATTCAGCTGTACTGTACATGTATGTTTCCTTACTGTCATGAAAGGTTGTTCTGGCAGTGGTACTTCAAATGGAATATCAGTATCAACAAAATCACTGTTATCAATCATATCCAATGAACCTTCTTCAATAGCCTGAGATTGGAAAAAATATATATCATCATAGCTATACTGTTGGTTATACTATTAACAAGATCTTACTTCGCTGAGATCCAGGAATCTGTTATAGAATATAAATGCCATGCTTTCCAATCCAACTGCCTATTGATAGAACACAATTAATCACTAAATAGGTACAGGTGCATGCACAATCCAAATATTTTGGCGCACAAATAATATTACCATACTGGTCCAATTAACAAACCTCTTGATAAATGATTACATTACATTATTTAGATAGGAACAGTTATGAATGAAAGCTGGAGGAGATGGAGGTGCATAGCAATGTACATGCCTGTAACAGATGTCTAATTACAACATACATGTACATCCCAATAATATAATTATCTTGACCAGGAGGCTAAGTTTTTATTATTAAAGCCATGTAAAGGTGTAATAAATAGGAGGGTGCATTAATTGGGGTGAGTATGGTATCATTACTCTCCCTCGATCTCTCTCCTCTATTTTTCCTACCATACTCTATAATACTGACCTTACAGTACATCCCAGCTTGATAGAAAGCTCTATCAGCAGGTATGACATCAGTGTGTCGTAGGAGTGATACTGATATCTTAGCAACTATACCATTCAGCTGTGGTACTCTACTGCAAGCTGATCGAGTAGCAAGATAATGTGATACCAATAGATATTGCTCAAATTCTCTACAACTCAAACTGCCAGACTCTGATGTACGTGATAGCTCATCAACCTGCCAGGGAGAAGGAACAGCATGAGAAATAATGACACAATAATACATAATATGTCTATACAACAGCATACAAGTATGTTATTCAATAATACATTGTACATTGGAAACTCAGTGCACTAAGTGAATATGCATAAACACATGTACTCATTCATTGTTCTGTACACTGTACATGTACATGTAAATGTATGTATAAATTCTTGTGTGTATTGTATGTGTCCATATTCCATAGAATTATAGCAGAAATTTACAATTGGAATTTTTCCAAGATATACATGTACATGAGTAAGAATGTATGCACATTACTATATACAGTACTGTATACTAACAGGTACTTACAATAGAGAATAACATATTCCTGAGACTAGAGTAGGTTGGATAAGCTGTCCCTCCTTCAAGATTCTCTCCAAACACTTCCATGCAGAGCCTCTTGTATATGTTAAAGTTCTGAGGTAAAGGAGGAGCCCCATATGTAGTGAAGAGTTTAAGAGCTGACAATGAAGCATTGGACTTTATCAGATGAGCTGCATATAATGCCACATATTTGAATAATACACTGGGACCCTGAGGAGATAGACAGAGATACAAATGTATACTATAATTAAATATTAGCAATTGGCTTTAGAGCCTACTACTTGCACCTGAAATAACAAATAAACCACTTTAGTGAACTATACCCATTACTGAACACTCACAAGTACATGTACATGTATATTATACATAAAATTAAATATACTGTACTTGTACATATAAATGTATGGGCATTATATTATGCTTACCAGTTCCTTGGCTAGTTGTAAGCATTTGTCCCATTCTCCTGACTGCATGTACATCTTAAGGGCACCATCAGGATCAACACGCTGCATCTGTTAACAATAGCCACATAATCAATGCATATAATTATACATACATGTACATGTACACAAATACCTCTTCTGGTCTGTTCCTCTCTTTTAAGAAATCAATATAAGCTTCTTCAACATACTGCTCAAACCTAGAGAAAGAGAGAGAAGAGAGAGAGAAGAGAGAGAGAAAGGGAGAGAGAGAGAAAGGGAGGAAGAGAGAGAGAGGGGGGGAGAGAGGGAAGGGGAGAGAGAGAGAGGGAGGAGAGAGCATGAAGAGTAGGGTGAACCCAGTTACAGTTACCATACCTTGGTGCTATAGTTTTTGCTACATGTCTAGCTTTCTCCCATTCTTCTCCAGATATGAACATATCAATTCCTTCCTTTATCATATCAGAACTAATAAATAGCTCACCAGCCTGTGTGTGTGTGTGATTGTTTTTATGTGCAAAAGAGGAAAGAAAAGGAAAGTAATTGAATTAATACATACATAATTTAATAAATGTACGTGTATATGCATTACAGATTGCCACTATTATAAGAAATGTACACAGGGTTTCCCACATGATTTTGGTATAGTATTTAGATTCTTGTCAGTGGATTTCAAAGTTGCTCAACAAAATATCCCGGGGAAAATGAAATTCTCAATTCTCATTACATTCTTTGAAACATATACATGTTCTTATGTCGTGTAAAAAGTTTGAGCTGATTTTGGTCAAATTCAGACTTTTTATAAATTTTTAAAGTTGCTCTAAAATCAGGCCAGTGACCAAAATTTTGTCAAAAATGACTAGAAGAGAATTCTCCATTTTTATAATTTTTTTCTGAGCTAATTCCGATAAAATTTGGATTCTATATGAATTTTTGAAGTTGCTCCAAAATCTGGCCAATGACCAAAGGCTATAGCCTTTGGTCATCAGTCAAAAATGACTAGGAGAAAAGTCTCCATTTTAATAATTTTTTCTAATACATATACATGTTCTTATGCTGCGTCAAAAGTTTAAGCTGACTTGGATTAAATTTGGTTTTTTATGAATTTTTAAAGTTGCTCAAAAATCTGGTCGAACCAAGCCTTTGGTCTTCAGTCAAATTTCATCAAAAATGACTAAAAAGAGAGAATTCTCCATTTTTGTATTTTTTCTGATACATATACATGTGTACATGTCCTCATGTTGTGCATCAACTTTAAGCTGATTCCAAATTTTTTGTGAATTTTTGAAGTTGCTCCAAATGCCATGTACTGTATTGTAGTGGGAAACCCTGACTAAATTAAGGTACATAATGTACATGGAGAGTATAAACATTACAAAACATTGAATGGGACTTTACCCACAGGAATAAAGCTATTTTAAACTACATGTAAATAATAAATAGAGGACAGTCTTACCTCACTGTAGCGATTAATGTTAGCTAGTCTATCGCAGACAAGCTTCACCACATCAGCTTCTTTTTCACGAGCAAACTTAACACACAAATCAACAGCCTACACAATACAACAATCATTAATAAAATGTACATCATTAATATTACATACTCATGTACAAATGACACAATCACTGTAAATTGACATGTACATGTATATGCATTAATGTCCATTACATTATATTCTTAACTATAAAGAGGTTTCAAATAGAAGCCCATTCACTAAAACATTGGCAATTTGGCATACTATACATGTACATGTACATGTACAATGTAAATATGTAACTATACCCTAAATGCTCTGATACATGTACATAATTAATGTCCTTATGCTATGAAATATTTGAGCTATGAACATTTGTAAAAAAAACTGGAAAATTTTAGAATAAAAATAAAGCATGGCAACATAAATTATGAGGCTCATTATTAGGATATGCCCATTATATCATGATTAGTACTTTGTTCCAGCTCTGTATCAGTATATCCTGATTCTCACAGTTCTGTACTGTTAGTAGCAGGTAGGTACTGATGGCCCTGCTGTACTCTCCACTGCTCTCCCATGTCTTTGCTTGAGAGAGAAGATCCTGATAATTCCTGTAATGAAGATGAAACAAAGAAAACACAGAAGGAAAAGATAAAATTCAATAGCAAATGTAGAATATAGTTTACTTTCCACTCCTGGCAGCCATTTCCCTTTGAAACTCATCAAGCTATAGAACAATAAGTCAATAACTCACACTACTATATGTGCTTACTTTATGAGGCAGGTATTCTTTAATAATCCTCAGAGCATCATTCCACATTTCAGCATCCTGAGAGAAAAGATAATAGAATCATACCAAAGTATACACATTACAAATCAGTTTATCAAGTACATGTACATGCATGTACAATGTACATGTACATGTATATTTCAAAGTACTGTGATATAAATTGGCAAATACAATGTACAAGTACATGTAAATGTATCTTAAAATTTTAAATGGATATACTTTACATGTACAATGTACTCTCTCTCTCTCTCATTTTTGTGTCTCTAATATTATTCAGTACTTGCCTTATACTGAGATACCACTAAGTCAGGACGATCAGCTCTCAATAAATAACTCTCAGCTTTTTGATAGTCCTTCTTCTGGAAAGCCACCCTAGCCTATCACCACAAGGTACAAGAGTACATCAATGGAGTGCATGATAAGGTGTATTACCTGCCCAATGAGTACATCAGGTACACTCTCGGGTGAGTGCTCCTCAGCTACATGCTGAGCTGCATCCCAGTCTTGCTGATGAACATACCTTTAATAATAATGATAAGAATAAAGACGGTACATTACATGTTATAACATCCAAAAATAGTGCACATGGTACATTTCTTTAGATGGACATACGTGTAACTTGAAAAATTAAAGTCGGAATCGGCTCAAACTTTCTACATAGCATAAGGACATCAATATGTATCAAAAAATGTAATAAAAATTGGGGGTGACTTCGGAGCCATTTTTTGGAAAAAACCATGGGCTATAGTACAGAGATTTTTTCAAAAATTGACACATTTTAAAAAATGGCCATAACTTGAAAATTTGAAGTTGGAATCAGCTTAAACTTTCTACATAGCATAAGGACATCAATATGCATCAAAAAATGTAATAAAAATTGGGGGTGACTTCAGAGCCATTTTTCGGAAAAAACCAGGGATTTTTTCAAAAATTGGAACATTTTTTAAATGGCCATAACTGGAAAAATTGAAATCAGAATCAGCTCAAACTTTCTACATAGCATAAGGACATCAATATGCATCAAAAAATGTAATAAAAATTGGGGGTGACTTCGGAGCCATTTTTCGGCCATTTTTCGGAAAAAACCAGGGATTTTTTCAAAAATTGGAACATTTTTTAAATGGCCATAACTGGAAAAATTGAAGTCGGAATCAGCTCAAACTTTCTACATAGCATAAGGACATCAATATGCATCAAAAAATGTAATAAAAACTGGGGGTGACTTCGGAGCCATTTTTCGGAAAAAACCAGAGAATTTTTCAAAAATCGGCCCATTTTTTTAAATGGCCATAACTTGAAATATTGAAATTGGAATTGGCTTAAACTTTCTACGTAGCATAAGGTAATGTTGTATGCAACTGTACACGCATGAGTATTGCAATAGCACGTGGACAGACAAACAGATAATAAGCAGCTAAAGGCTTCATTAGAGAGGTATAGGTAAAATATCTAATGTTAGACTGAAAGCAAGAGTAAAATAATTAATGCTTAAAATCCCCTCACACACTAGGCTATAGCTATGTGTACATTTATGGTCACATTATATACAATAAAATTCATAAAATTTCCAATCATTATTAAACAGGTACATGTACCGTACGGTTGGTAATATTCGAGGGTCCAAAATTTCGTGTTTTCTCCAAAATGTCCTTAGAAGCTAATATTCGTGGGTACAAATATTCGTGGATGGCAGTTAGCAAACTTCTTTTCACTTAGATCTACTGGACTAGCTTCCAACACATGGCTTATAGTGGAATGTGGAGTAATAGACAAAGACTTTGGCTCCTCCACTAGCTTGGAAATGGTAGTTAGAGCTCTGCATGGCCCGTTAATTAGTTTTTATGTGTGGGTGGGTAGGGGTTAAAATTTCGTGGATAAAAATTAACCACGAAATTAACGAAAATTAATACCCCACGAAATTTACCAACCGTACGGTATATGCATAGCTTACATAAGAACAGCTTCTTTTGGTTTTCCAGCTCTAATAAATGCCAACTCAGCTTCACTGAATTTACCCTAACAACATGAACACACTAACAGTGCTGTGTATAGTGACTAACAAAATACCTCATCCTCAAGATATATTGCATATTTTAAATGAATTTCAGGCACTTTTGACTTTAAAGCAGCCTTTGCTATCTCAAAAGCAAAATCAAATGAACTAAAACAAAGCAAAAATAAAATGAGTTCAACATTACTATTATTCATTTATTATTGGTATTACTAGTTTTCAGTCGCATAATCAACAGCAGCTTCAAGGAGACCAAACTTTGACAATAACTTGACGGCAGAATCACCACCTACAATGTACATGTGTACATGTAATAAATACACATACATGTACATGTCTCATATATAAATGTACATGTACATTAAATGTACATGTACAAGTGTTTTACGTGGACACAATAATCAAAAACAATAAAATGTACAAAATAATATAACATGTACATTATTACCTAAACTCTTAGCCCAGAGATAAGCTACTTGATTAGCAGCATTACTGCCGCCATGAGCTTTTGCAACCTAAAAGAACCATGAATATTAAGTACATGTACATGTATGTATATACACTCACTCTATAAGCATCATCCCATAGGCTGTGAGTCCTGTACATATTAACTGCCGACTTCCATTCATTCCCTTGAACATAATGGTTCTCAGCTTGCCTGTACTGCTTATCAGCTTCCAACTCCTGCATTGGGAGAGCATCAAATCATTAACATACAGTACATAAAATGTATGTGTACAGTACATGTACATGTAAAAGTACATGTACATGTACATGTAAAAGTACATGTACATGTATATAATGCTTTTGATGTATGTTACAGCATGTCCATGTACATTTACATGTATATCACATTCAGTGTACCCTTTACCTTAGCCAGGTGTAAGTGTGTATCAGGTAGTATGTCAGGATGATATGTAGCAACTAGTTTCATCATTGGCTCATACTAACAGGAAGGAATAAAGAAAGAAAAGGAGAACCAGTTAGGAGAGAGAAAGAAACAGTAATAGCATAATGATTATACCCATCTAAAATACTACATGTACATGTATGTACTTGTACCATTATTGATTTTTCTCATTTCTCTCTCTCCCATTATAAAAAATCTCCTTATACTCCTCATATCCCCATACTGTACATGTACATGTCACTCCTTCCCTCTCCCCCCCTCCTCCCTCTCCCTCCCCCCTCTCTCTCTCCCTCTCTCTCCTTACCTGTTTACACTTATTATACATGCTAATGGCCAGATCAGGTTCCTTCACTAGTATATAGAGTCTCTCAGCCTCTCTCAGTCTCCCTTGAGTCTCAAGCTCTTCTGCTTTAGCTAAATAGAGTCCGTGAACTTCATCACTTCCCATGCAGTCCACAGCAATCCTGTATGCTGGCTCCCACTGGTCGGACTTGATGTACATCTCCACTGCTGCTTTGAACTGACCACTTCTCACATATAAGCTTTCAGCTAGCTGTAAGGTGGGAGGAGAAAAAGAGGAGGGAAATTAATAAGGGGAAAATGTAGTTACATGTATTTTACATGTACCTGCACATGTACATGTACATGTACATGTGCCTGTACATGTGCCTGTACATGGTTCCCTAGAAAGCATGCTAAGTGAGCTAAACAGCATGAGTTTCATGAGCTGACAAGCACTAAAATTTTTTCTATTTTTTAAAATTCTTTTAGATTTTTTGTATTGTAGTGACAAGCACTACAATACAGTACATGCACATTGTACATGTACATGTACATGTATATACATGTAATTATTCATAAAAAATTAATTTTGATCAGAATCAGTTCAAACTTGCAACACAACATAAGAATAATTATGTGTATGTACATGCACATGCATGTACATGTATCAGAAAAATTATAAAAATTGAGAATTTTCTCCTAATCATTCTTCTTGCCATTTAAGTAGAGATAGAACATGTTCATAGTATAACATTCTCTAAATGTACCTCATAGTTCTTGATTGATGCATAATGGTCAGCAATCTGCTTGTGATACTCTTCAGTGGCTGATGGATCTTGTGTCTCTACAATTTGAACTGCTTTGCTCCATTGCCTCCCGTGTATAGCTGCCTCTATAGCCTTCATAAGGAAATTAATAAAATAAATATAAATGTACATGTAGAACTTTATTACATGTAAAATTTTATTACATGTACAAATTTTTGTGTTAGTGATATAAGATTGTACAAATAAAAGCATCGTAAGAGTTTATGTACATAAAGCTATATGTACATGTACATGCCAGCCTGTGTATAATAAGTACATGTACATGTACACAAGTACATGCATGTACATACATGTATGTACATACATGTATGTACATGTACATGTATATGTACATGTACATGCATATACACATACTATTATGTAGTACTGTAGGTCACAATATTATCATACCTTCATGACATTCCCTGATTCAATAAAGTGTAGTATAGCTGATTCATACTGTTTCTGTGAGCAGAGCTGATCCCCCCACTGCTCCTCCAGTGATACCACCTCATTAGGGAACGCACCTCGGGCCAGTTCTATTGCTTTACGGAATGCTCCTCCTCTCCTATAGGCCTCCATTGCCTCTTGATAGAGACGAGCTTGTTCCAACAACTCACCAGCTCTTTCAAAGAGCCCACCTCTTATCAGCGATGAGGCTAACTGCTGCAACAGATCCAACTGGCCACTCAACTCCTGTACCAACATTAAAATCATTAAAACTACATGTAGACAAGTGTAAAACATTAAGGGATGAGCCTAAGCAAGCAAAGCAATGTACATGTACATGTCTAGAATAGACAGAGTAGATCTTGAATATAGTCGTACCACATTAGTAATGCATGACTGTACAGAGTAGCTCAGAATTGGAATGGAAGAAAATTCTATAGGTTTTGGCTTGCTATTCTATAGTTTTATTACTCTGAAGCAATTAAAGTTGCCTTGCTCATAGCAGTTAGCAAGCATTAAAGATAAATAGAAAAAGTCAGTGCATAAATTATGTAGCTACATGTACATGAAGATAGGCATCATTCAACATTGTATTTCTTACTGGATGCTGTGTAACTAGTCTGGCAGCTTTAGCAGGTAAACCAGCTTTAATGTAGAGGTTGACAGCAGAATGAAGGTCACCTTCTTTCTCTCTCATCTCACCAGCTCTCTCCTCCTGTCCTGAATCAAGCAACCACTGGAGATGAGAAGCTTTCAAACCATCAAGATCAGGATGACCCTAATGATGATAATAACATAATAATAATATTACTAGACGAATGTAAAACATTAAGGGGCTCAGCCCCCTAGCCACGCTATATTTTAAAGGTTATATGGTATAGAGCTACATTATTGTACATGTACATGAGTAAATACAGTAGTTTGTAAGTTTGTAATGAAGTTATCATGCTTGGAAATACAAATTTTCTTTATCAGTTTATCACATTCTGCAGCAAAAAAGTTGTGTTGGAAGCCAGAGACAGTAACTGCAGTCATAGGTTATGTCAGTAGTTGTGGAGGCTTTACAAGCTCACAGTAGAGACTTCTCTTGCATTCTTGCTGACTCAAGTGAGTGACTTGTAACTTATAAGGTCAAGAACATGAAGAACAATGAATAATTGATAGCTGGCGCCATTTTATTTCACTGTGACCACGCCCGTTTTCAAAGAAGATTAAGATTAAGTTATTAAAATAGGAAAATTTTTCATACGGATAAATAGGGGTGACGTACGTGTACAGACAGACAGACAGACAAACATACTCTACTCGAACTAGTGGGCTTCGCCCAATTATTGATTTTTAAAATGCATTTTCAAAGACAATTAAGATACTGGTACGTACATTTGGCAAATTTAGGATTTTGATAACCATTTTCCATCATACATGTAGAACCATTACTGTAATACCATTATTCATATTCTCAATGGCACATGGAAGCAAATTTAGCAATTTGTAAAAATTTTACCTCTACAAAAGTACATGTACCATGTATACGGAACATGTACATAAATATCATTGTACGTGCACTAAATAGAATATTTATAAATATCAGAAGATTACATAACAACCTATACTATAGCTGTGTCTTTGGCACAATTTTTGAGCAACTTTTAAAAATTATACATGTAAAAAATTTGATCTAATAATTTTGAGTATTACCGTATAGCGGGTTTTTTTCGAGGATAATAAATTTCGCGAATGACCCATATCCGGAAGCTTGCGGAATTAATTTTCGCGAATTTCCACTAATCTGCCATCTTGTACCGTATTATATTGATTTTCAAGGAATTTAAAGGGTAACTGAAATGGTTTTTTGAGGTATTTATTTTATTGGCTTAATATGATTGCCTGAACTTTTTAATGAAGTATGACAGCTCCCATTGTTCAAAAAAAATTATTCACTGAGATATGAGCTTTCAAAAATGCCCTTTTTGCTTCCTGCCATTTTACTTCCTGTCGGTGGGTGTGGCTAAACGTGACGTCATTTGAGGCAGACTGGTGATTAATCCATTCCATTATAG